CGCGACAGTGAAGACTGCAAAAACAAGTTTCAAGAGTAACAAATTTTCAAGGGCAGAAAGGCGTTAGAACGATTATCCGCTTTCAGCAAAACATTAAAGAAACAAACTCCTGGTGACCAGAAAAAATTCTTTAAATACTGCTATTCAGTCCTATCCATGTTTTATTAAAATATTCTAGTGATTATAAAAATCAAAAAATGAGTGTATGAAAGTGGGCTAAAAAACACTAATGTTGCAACAAGACTCGATAGCTTACGTGTCGTTCAGGGCTGTGAATCATGTAGTGAACCCATCCCGGACTTTGTTGAATTCCAAGGTTGCGCCATTCCGACTCTGTCAGAAGGCGATTCTTCGGGATCAGTTTTGCTATTTCTTTTGTAACATGAACATGTCTGCAAACAATTTTGAGTATAAACACAAAACCACAAAGCCACTCTATAACGGAACTTCCCTGTTAGAATACCTTATATTGAAGGCATTTAAAACCTAATGTCAAATTTAGTAATTTCTCCGCTCGTGAATTTTGAGTGGTAAAAAAGAACGCTCTGCACTTTTTTTTTGACAGTATAAGCAAAAAATTCATAAGTAGCACTAAAAAAAAATAAAAGTCATAACTTATTTGGAACCTTTCAGAAAAGCCGTGAACAGTGTAAAAAAAATGAATAAATCCACAACTAGAGTTATAAGATGTTATCAGTTATAGCACTAATAAAGCCCGAATATCCCAAGTTTTTTTTTTTAACCCAATGTTAAAAAAACAAAGCGAGAACACTCAGACTACACTGTTGAGTAAACTTAATACAGTTTTACCTGTATTCATATTCATCATCCTCATACTTGCCTGAATAGTAAAAGTCGTTAGCACCACTCGTCATTATTGATAATGCACCAACGCGAGACTCAAACCAAACCTTAAGTGAAAATAGAATTTTACACCTATTTTCAATTGAAATCGATTACCAGTCTTTATATCGTTAATAAAGCGGCATCTTTTGGATGACCCTTCAGGCCATTAATCTTTAACTTCTATCTAATCTTTTTCCCGGCCCTCCTGCTCATTCTGCTTATTGCTATGTCAGCCCGAAAATCTTTGCAGCTAGCGAGTGCACACGCAAAGCACTTTCAGTGGAACCTCAAAAAATTTCCTGTTTTTTTTTTTTTTGAAAATCTGTGCTCCCACCACCCAAAAAGTGGTGAAAAATTCTGCAGTCTTTTAGGCAGAGAACCTCACACTCAATCAGCTTTCATTGGAAGCGTTCTGCTGGTATATTAGTGACCATGGCAGAAGCGCCAGTGGATACTCTAAGGTCGGCATGTGAGTACAGCATTGACGCTAGTGTTATATCTTACTTATTCTCCAGCAGATTTTCTGGTCTGTTCCAGCGTAGTGAATGTTTTCTGAGCTACAAATTAAAAAGATTTTTCTTTTTTTTTTTTATTGAATTTTGACGGCTATGGTTTACCCGCACCTACCAAACATGACAGTTCTGATTCTGCGGTGGCTAAAACTAACATACAACGCGCAAATGACAACAGGACGCTGTACTAGCTTTGTACCTGCATATACAATGACCTTCTGTAGATGCTTTCCGTTGATACTTAACGGGTATAGCAGAAGTTCGGTAACCTACAACCCTATCAACCCACAAAAAAATTGACTTAAAATAAAACGTTGATGATGCAGTAACTGGTTTTCAAAAACCAATTACGGCTTTCCCAGAAATGGCAGGAAAAACAGATAAAGAATGGCCCATTAAACCGTTAGCCTGTGTTCTTCTACTAAATCATAATTTTAAAAGATTTCACATTTCTGTACCACTTAACATGGCAGCTGGTG